TATACTAATTCTAACTGTTGACTGAGGCTTAGTCCCAGGCACGTATCTGGGACCTCATCTTGGGGGGGGTGATTCATTTTTTTAGGAATACCTAGTCCAAATCCTCTATAATACATTTAAGCCGGTGTGCTCTTACATTAAAAATAATTTGCTGTGCCTAATAATACATTTATTAAACAACTGTAATTTAAATAGTTAATAAATTATCGTTTAATAATTGATAATAATATATAAATAATATGATATTGTCATAATGAATTTATTACATCTGTCATTTTCTACAATAAGAGATCGGTGTGTATATTCAATAATGCTAATCCACATAGCCGATTTTGTCCCATTTTTGAGCGCAACCAAGTTTTTAATCTACAGAATAAGCAAGCATGTAGCAAACATTCAAATCATACAAGCAGATAAATACACAATACTTGCAAAATAACCCTCTTTTTTTATTAGAATACATTAGCCAATTATATTTTTCAAAATATGATCTGTTTAGATACCTCTTTCCTTCTTTATTTTTCTTTTTATGTAAACTGAATGGGTATACAAAATCCTTTCCAGGCAAGTTGGACAGCTCTAATAGTTTAGCTTTGTTGTAATCTGATATGAATGCATTAGTTTCCTTTAAATAATCACCAATATCTTCACTAAATTCAGTGCTATTGCCTTCTACAGGATGTTGGACGTGAGCATTATCAATCACTTTTGGTCCTCCTAATTTATAAATATATGTTTTTAATTATTACCCGACATTTGTTATTTAATATTTATATATACAATTTGCATTTATCTATATTTTAAATGTAGTTACCATCTAAAGGTCTGTTTTGTGATGTACTAGTATTAGTCGAAATATTGTCTTCTACAGGATATTTGATGTGGTCATTATCAATCTCCTTTGGTCCTCCTAATTTATGAATATATGTTTTTAATTATAACCTGACATTTATTATTTAATATTTATATACACAATTTGCATTGATCTATATTTAGAATGTAGTTATTTAAAAAATATTGTTACCATCTAAAGGCTTCTCTTGTGATGTACTACTACAAGTATTAGTTGAATTTAAATCTGATAGTAAAAGAGCATTTAAATTTACACTATAATGTGGCTCACGGTCATTATCAATCTTTGATCGTTTTTCTGAAGAAATAAATTATAATTAGGTATATATTTATTTTATTAATTATCCATTAGAGTCATTAGACATTACTTTAATTAAGTAAATAATATCTTTCTTACCTTCTGTCCTTTCTGAATGAGTTTTATTCTGTAACCATTGTGTTAGCATAGTTTTTTGTCCACTCAACTTGCGTTTGCTCATTATAAGATAATAATAATATTAAATTATGACATAATTATTGACAAATATTGATATAACTGCTAAAATATTTGTCAAATGTCAATTGTCATGTCAAGAACTCAATTCTAATAATTAGGTTTTAGGTACCTACTTCAGAAATTTTTTTCGAAAAACGTTTATCTTTTCGTCAAAAAATGTAATGGATAATATTTTAACCATGATAAGAATATACGGAAGAATATTCTTATCTATCTCAGTGTAAATCATTATCATGATTTTACTGATACCATAGAATACTATAGAAACGACACTCTCCCGAAATCCTTTGTTCTGCCTGAATTAATTTGATAAGGTGCATAACTTCATGTTCTCCCGCTATGCTTACAACATCAATCAGTCCGCTGCCAAAATGAAAAAAAGTGAAGTGGTGGGGGGAGTGTCGTTTCTATAGTATTCTATGCTAATACTATCTTGATAATTCTTAAATCGTAAATTAATTAAATTATTATAAAAATTTATTTAAAAAAATAGTAGATCATAAATTTTTTTTATAATCTTATAATTTATAAGATACCTACATACTAAGAATTAAGATGGACTGTATAAGGACTTATGGGGGGGGTGATCGCCCCTATCACCCCCCCCTCAAATACGTGCCTGCTTAGTCCAATACTTAGATGACCATTTTTGTAGATATAAGTCCAAAAATCATTATCCTCCTTACAATTATATACAATTATGAAATACTAACCTG